TTATCATGAGTGATCATATTTTATTACCTATTTGCGAGTAACGGCAGGTTACTCACGCTACCGAGATCCTAAGCATAGCAGCTACTCGACCTGTACTAGTAGGACTCATGGGTAGATATATTTATGCATGTAGTTTTCATAAAATACCTGTAACATAAATGCACATCATATATATATTCAGTGATTAGTAAAATAGGGGTTATACACCAGGGCTTGCCTTGGGCAGGCGACGGGTCAGTAAGGTCAGCACCAATAGGCTCTGGAGCTCCCTCCTGCACAAGGATCTCCTCCTTGTACTCCTCGATCACCTCGTCGTACTCCGGCTCGCCAATGGGCATGAAGTCTACCCGTTCGTGATCTACATAAAATGATGATGCAATGATTAACAATATGACAACAGCAACTTTTAAAATAAAAGTACATCTGTTTAACTACTAAGCTAATGCTACCGACCACTGTACTAGGCTACCTATTGTTACCGATAACCATTTTGAAGTATGATGTTCATGATTATGATAGAAACTACAGATATTCTTACTCCTAATGCTAATTTACGCAATATACAATAAAGCAAAGGTAATAGCTACTCTATCTAACAACTCATTCTAAGGGCATGTTCGCTTGTCTAAATTTCGGAGGAATTTGGATGGTTTGGAGGAATCTATGAGAGAGAAACACTGTTCCGGATAAAAAAATAAGCGGATCAAGCCGGATTCAATGGCACGTGAATGGGGCCTAAGGCTACAAAATTTACCGCAAGTACATAATGGCCTCGGGAACCTACTGTAAAATTTTTATGTCGATAGCTATCACCAATTGTCCACAAATATTACTACAAATATGAATCTACGTAATACCAAGCTTTCTAATTAGAATTTACGAGCCTTTCATCATAACAACTAACTATGAACTAACTACACTAACAGATAGATGATATTTTTGTGAACCTAACAAAATTAGTCTTGCTATTTTTGGACCATTACACAATTTACTACAAATTCTTAAAGTTCAGCTTGAAAACTAATTGGAATAAGCAATTCTATTTTACTGGAAATTAAGAATGAATTCTAACTCATACCCAACCCAGCTACGGTTCGATTCGGCCTGACAAAGGCGGGTGGGGTGGCCAGCCTTGTGATGGCTGACATGGCCCAAGCAATGGTAGTCGAGCGAGTCTTGAAGGCCCAGCCAATGGCAATGTGGTGACCAACCAATGGCAGCAATGGCAGCGTGGTAGTCGCCCAGGTGGCCTTGCGGATGCAAGAGCGGTGAGCACAGTGAAGCTGGCCCAGCGGTACTTGCGGCGCGCAGCCAAATATTCAGTGTATTCACCGAATTATTTTCTACAAGAAAATGGCCTTAAAACACGTGTGACGAGGATGACATCATCTTGACGTCAACAAGCTAATAACAAGAAGAATAACACACCGCCAATTTGCTCGCTGCTGCTCAGGCGTGGTTCCACCGCCGCGGAGAAGGGCGCTATAAGGCGGTGAAGCTTGAATGAGGTGAGCAAAGGCGATAAGCGGTGGAGGAGGCTAGCGATTACCTTTCAATTGGAATGGCAAGATCTAGTTCCGTGGCTTGTGGACGGCCGCGAACCACCACGGTCTTATGGAGCGGCCGAGCGGTGATTTCAAGCGAAGCTTCTGCGCGGCGATCTATGCGGCCGAGTGGGGGACGGTTGCCGCGCGGCTACCTAAGCGGAGCCGAGGATGCGACGAATTTGATTAAAGTGCCGCGGTCACTGCGAATTGAAGGAAGGAGGTCCCGCTGGTCATGGCGACAGCGGAGACAGGGGCTTTGGCATGGCTTGGCTTGGCACACACGGAGCTGTCAACGCAAAGTACCAACGCCTATGAACGACAAGGACAGCGAGGTGCGCTCCAGGCGGCTGTCCGCACGGCCGACCCACAAGGCGATGAAGCACGGGCCTGCGTCACCGCGGATGGCACCGGACAAGGAACTAGAGCGCGACACGACGCCGAAGTGACGGTGGCAGCAGGCGGTCGTCCCACGTGAGTGCAGCCGCGACGAGTCAACAGGACCACTGCCGGGCACGGCAATGGGTGGCGTGTAGCGTGACCAAGGTACCGCATGACGCGATGGCGAGGTAGAGCTGACAGGACCCGCACGCAGTTCTCTTGCGTGTGGTGGCAGGCAGCCGAGGCAGTAGTGGTGACCGCGGCCAGCGCAGCACCGTTCGAAATAGGTGACGTGCACGGGTTTTAAAGCTGTCGCAAAATCCAAACCAATGGTCCAAACACCAAACCAATTCTTTTAGATGCAAGAGGGTACGTAAGGCTACCAACCCATGCCACGACATCACGCTACTTCTTAAGCCGATTTCCCTACAAAGCTTGCCAAACATGGCTATGTCGACCCCTTTACAAACTTCGTGAAACGACTTAAAGTTTGAACGGTTTCGCGTCGAATTCCAATTCCGACCTACTAGATGTACTAGCTAGCTATCCTCGTCCTCGACCGCACCATCGTCGACTATGAAGCGCGTACCACAAATTTTATTAAATCTCGCATAAACGTTCTATAGCATGTTTATCCGATAAAAATTTGCTTAGCATACTAACAATGTAAAGCGACATGGAATGTTACATTTGTTTCACGTTTCGGATAAACATTTCAAGTGCCGTATTTGATTTATACTCCAAATTACACACATGTACAAACAAGTATGATGCTCATGCAGTGTTTTAGCAAAACAGTACAATGTAACACCGAGGGTGTTACATATTCTGCTGCCAACACCGGCCTCCTGGTAGAACTATACTTCCATCTAACCGGGTGTGAGATCAAGTCTACCCATATAGACATGTGGCTGTACGAAATACCACGCTAGGTGAAAGCTTGGCCTACTGAATCGGTGCTTATGTGACAGGCAGTATCTCCCAACATGAACCCTCACTAGGCGATCCACCTTAAGGTGACCAGTACCCACAAGTTACCCTCACTCACCCCACGTCGTTGTTTAGTCCATTTTACCGGTTTAAGTTTCATAGTTATTATCCTCAAGTTCTTATTAAGACCATCATTGACCATATCATCATTAATCGTATTATCATAGTCAAGCTCATATATCATTATAATTCCATTAATTCACAAGTAAGGATTTAACTAATATAAGTTGGGTTTGTTATTTAGTGGAGTGGGAAAGGGAGGGTTTATAGTGGAGGTTACCAAGATGGTGGTGGTGGAAGGGAGGTAATTAAGGAATGGTAAATAATGTGGAGGGAAAGGGATAGGTGGGGTTAGGACTTCGGTGGTTTATCTGACTGAGCTTTGGGGAAATATTTAGGGAAGAGGGTTCGGGTAGAGATATATAAAGTGGAAAGGTGGAAAGGGAATTAGGACTTGCCTCCATTCATTTGGCGATCATATCCTTGTTCGATCCCTGTGTCTCTTGTTCCTATAAATGCGGGCTTCTAGATTCCTTTGAGTTCTCTCCTCGCGTCTTACGGCCCTACGTCGTTTATTCTCGACAAACACCAAACAAGACATGCATAACAAAAGAGAATCAATCAAGGATGCGAGAATAGCCTTTAGGTGGTTTGGTCTTATATGATTGATGGATTGTTATATAAGGTTATCATTATTATGTCAATTTGAAGTAAGGTTGAATGGGAAGGGATCCATCCAACAAGGTGGTTCCTACGGACTAGGTTTGTGTGGTGCGGCTATCAGATGGAAAACCAGACCACATTATTAGGTTTCACTATTATGTGAACCTGAAAGAGAAAGTCTGACCAAGTCATCATAAATGAGTTGTCTGACTCTTACTGAGTCCAATTAGGGTTTAACGGGGTTAACTAGATGAGTTCACTTATACATATTAATATACGTGAGAGGAGCTTGGGTAGTTAGGTACATGTATATACATTTATATACACATACAGGGGGTGTAGGTTACTCGAAGGTGTAGGGTTAGGTTAGGGTTAGTGGCACATACGCACATGCATATGTATATGCCTAGATGAGTATAGGAGTTAGTTATGCGTAGGTATAACCGTGGGCATGTATATTATATATTTATTCCTACATGCGTATAATGCGGTATATTATTATGTGTGTATATTTTTATCCAAATATTTATATACTGGGACATGATGTACATGCATACACAAATATATGGGGATATCATGTACACGTATGTATTCTAGTATTATTCTATGTATATATACACGAGTATTTATACTACAGGTTAATATCAAATAAAAGGAGCGGAAAACAATCATAACTAGAATTTAAATGGGCACCAAAAATTAGGAAAAAGGATTTGAATATGTGGAGCATGATTTTAGAAGATTTATGGTGAAAGAAACACGAGGTTGAAGTTACGATGAAGGAGATATAAATTGTCACAGTTTTTAGCGGTGTAAACGCTAATGGAAAGGAATTTGAAAATTATTTCTATAATTTTGATTAATGGAAAAGGTGTGGGAAATGTTTGGGTAGGGTCTTGGGTGGTTCTAGTTTATTTTAAAATTTTCTGCGAATTTTTATGCAATAGAAAAGGGCTTATATTAATCTCTTGTGTACGTTTCCCGTGTGCGCGTAGCAATTTCCTTCCTGGATGACACGTGGGTCCGGCTGTGGGCGGTCTGCTGTACTGTGCTCTCGTGGACCCGTGCGCCGATCTGTAGACCTGTTCCTGCCCTCTCTATGGTCCATGTGGACCGGGTTTCAGAAGAGGGGAGGGCGGATGGAGTCTATGACGCGTGGGGCCTACGGGGCAAGGTGGCGCGCTCCCATAGGCTGTGCCGACGTGGCCAGGTGCTCGGTCACTTGGTTAGGTGCGGTAGCCGGTCCCTTTCTGTGGTCAACGAGCAAGAGGGAGAGGAGAGAAGGAGAGGGCGAGAGCAGAGAGAGGGAGAGGCAGAGCGCAGAGCAGAGAGAAAGAGGCGCGCCGGCAGAGCAGCAGCGCTCGGCGTCGGCCTGCTGAACAGCGGAGGGCGCAGAGGGAGAAGAGACAGAGCAGAGGGGCGATGGCGATGGCCTTGGCCCAGGCGAGGAAGGCGAGGGGCGGGGCTCCTGGTGACGCTCGGCTCCGGCGCGGCGGCCTTGGGACGGTGGCGCAAGGTGCCGGCGGTCAGCTCGCAGGCGGTTGGAGGGCTCCTGGGCGGCAGCCATCGGACAGAGGAGGAAGGAAGCGCGGGCGGCGGCGGTCATGGCCTTGGCTCCGGCGGCTGGCTAGCGCGGCGGTGCTCGGCCTCGGGCAGAGCGGACGGCGGCGATCGGTGGTGCTCTGTCCCAGCGCGACAGGGCGAGATGGGGCTCCGGTGGCGATGGCTTCGGCACCGGCGCTCTGGTGGCGACGGGCTCGGCGCTTGGCGTTGGTCTCCGGCGCGGCTCAGGCTCCGACGACTGGCTGCGCCTTGCGGGGCTCCGAGCCCGACTCGGCAACAGCAGCGGCAGTGCCTGCCAGGGGAAGAGAGGAGAAGGGACTTCGAGTCCGAGCTCTGTGACGCCAATGGCGAGTTCGCCGGCGCCTTTTATAGGTGAGGTAAGGCGGTGGCGCCCAAAGTATCTCCGGCGACCGTTGCTCATGCTCATCCGCTCGCAGGCAAAACGACATCGCACAAGGTCGGTCATGAGGAAAACGACGCAAGAGAAGGTCGGTGGTGACCGTGGCGACTTGGAGCGGACGCGGGGTCTACGCGGTGCAGCGCGGCGCTCGTGCGTGCTCCTGTCGCTGCGACCCGGGCCAAGCCAATCGGGTTGCTGCCGTGCTGGGCTGGGCTGAGCCCATTCGGTGGGGAGGGGGTAGGCTACGTGCTTGTGAAGGTGAGCAGCAGAGGAGGGACAGGCCATGGGCCGGGAAGGTCCACAGAGAGAATTGTTCTGGTATGATTTTCTATTTCCCAGATGTAACATTATATGTATATGTATATGTATATGTATATGTATATGTATATGTATATGTATATGTATATGTATATGTATATGTATATGTATATGTATATGTATATGTATATGTATACTTACTATTTTCTTTTGTAATTGCTAGATAATTATCTTTTGTGATCACTTTGTAATTTCTAGAAAATCGAGAGAGATTTAGGGAGTATATATATATTTATATAATTTGTTTTTGGATTCAAAGAAAGGAACAGAAACTCAAGGAAGTTATTTTGGTGCCACAATTAAACTCTAGAAGAGCAACCATACAAGCATTCAAACACACAAGCCGTTCAACCAAACATCCATTTCAATCATTACAATCTTTTCACACATAAATGCACATGGTGGGTTTTGATGCAAGCTTTTTGGCAAAGGATTTTCGAAATGGTTTGTAGAAAATAATCTAGTCAAGTTTTTAGTTTGTTGTAAATTTTGAAAAGTTCAAATTTTTAGTGGATTTTAACATGATGCAAAACACAGGATGTTATAGAATGCTTGGATCCAAGAGCATAAAGATCTCCCAGTTGACATGCTAGCTAATGCAATCAGGCACAAGACAATGGTACTTTTTGAGAAGAGAAGGAAGATATCCATGGCCCTAAAAGGATTCATACTACCAGCAATAATTCAGTAGCATAATACCGCCTCTAAGGGACTGTCCCATCTGAAGGCAACTAAGGGAGGACCCAACCAAGCAGAGGTGGTAGTCATGTACAATGATGAAGTTGTTAGGAGGCATGTTGTGTACTTGGACCAGCATGAGTGTATATGTAGAGAGTGGCAAGCCTTGTCCCCATGCACTGGCAGTCATAACATCTGAAAGGCAGCCAAATATGGAGAAATTTGTGGATGTGGCCTACTCAGTGCACAAGTTCCAAGCAACCTATGCAGGAATGATTCATGTCATCATTGATAAGAGCCAGTGGCCACAAGTGGATAAGCGGTTCAAGCTTCTTCCACCAATTGGCAAGAAAAGAGGACTTGGAAGGCGAAGGAAGAAAATGTTAAGGGATGTATGGAGAGAAGTGAAAAAGCCACAAGACAGGTGACTTACAAGGGCTGTGGTGAATTAGGCCATAGGAGAACCAGATGGAGGTGCCCACTAAGTGGCACCAAAAAAAGGTAAAATACTAACCTACCTTTGCTCAAATCCTATCAACATCCAGATCTAACTAAATGTAATTGCAGGAAGAGAATAAGGAAGACAAAGACAAAAAGAAGACCTAAGAAGGCTGCTGTCATGGAGAAGGAACCTGCTCCTACTATTGAAACTATACCAGCCCCTCAGCCTTCACCAGCAGCAGCACCATCTCCAAGGACCCAAGAACAAGGGCAGCAACAACAAAGGAAAGAGAAGCAGAGGCAGCAGCAACAACAGTAGCAGCAAGAGAAAGAGAGGTAGCAGCAGCAGGTTAGGTTGGCATCAGCCCAGGACCAATCTCTATAAGGTAAATTTTGAACTTAAATTGTGACTATGAAGCTCATGAACTTGGCAACAGCCCACTAAACCACTTTCAAATGCAGGAGCTTGAACTTGGAAGCTCCACAGCCCCTAGAAATGATCATTCCAGAGGTAGACCCTCCACCAGCCAAGAAGATGACCCCTAGGAAGAAGCAGCTGACCACAAAGGTGAAAAGCCAAGGGGAAATGATATCAAGCAAGCTTTGTGATGTATGGTGCTGCAGTTGTGATATTTTGAGTCCTATATTATGGCATTGTAAGTTGAATGAACAACTTGTTATGGTATTGTAAGTTGAATGAACAACTTGTAATGTATTGCCTTCTAGGCCTGAACAACTTGTAATGACTTTGCTATGGTTGTGTCATGTATCTAGACTGAATTTGCTATGGTATTGTCAGTTTTATCTCATTTACATTGCTATCAGTGCTTCCAGTGATGATTTTGGGATGTTAGGTACAAGTGCAATAACAGAAACAACATTCCATTAACCATTGAACATTTTACGCATACATACCCACTAATTGGTCCAATTGGTACTGAAACACATAGTTCATTGCTCAACTAACACAAAGATTCAACTACTTCAACTAACAGACAACTAGTTCAACTAACACACATAGAACTACTTCATCACATACACTGCTCCAACCACTACACCAGCACCCATAACCAAGCACAAACCCTTCACTACACCAACCAAAGCATCCAGCTTCACCTCCATTGAGTTCTTCTGCACACGCAGCAGTACCCTTGAATTAGCTTCTTCCTCTCCTGCTCCATATTGTTCCTGGTTCATCACAATCTTCCCCATGTCCACCAATTTGGCTAGGTAATCTCGCTGCCAGTCATAAAAACTGCAACTTCTTGGAACCTAAACACATGGACACACATCAAAACCGACAAATCGAGTCAAAACCCTAACAGATCTGGAACCAAACCAAATCTATAACGTGCCTTACCCCTTGCATGTTCCTGGGACATTTGAAGAAGATACGACCCTTGTTGCTATTCTCATTTGTCTGTGTCACGAGCTCCAGCACCCTCTGCAGCCCACACTGGTCGCAGGATGATGAGGGGGAGCCCCGTCTGTCTCCCGAGTGGGTACTCCCCTATCACATCTGGCAGCCGCGGGTGCCTATTTCACGTCGAGGAGTTCGCATGGCGGGACATGACGGTGAGGGTGGGGGAGGGGAATGGAGCAGCGCCGACCAAGGGAGGGAGGGGAGACGGAGGAAGAAGAAGAAGTGGGGAGACAACCGTTGCCACTAAGCAGACGGGGGGGTGATGGCTCACGTTAAGAGGGATACGACGGGGGCAGATTGGACATTTGGCGTCGGTCTTCGAGCGTCAACGGCCCATTGCCACGCTGGCTGCCTGATCTGACTTGCCACATCAGCAAAAATGGCAAAGTTGTTGGCGAATTACCGTTTTCTAGGGCATTTTTATTGTTGGCATGATAAAACTCACAATCGGAGAGTTAACCACCTGTGGCAAATAATTAGAAATCCCTTGGGGAGCTCCGACCGAAGATTACGGGAAATTTAAATTTTTGCCATCCTTTGGTTGGCACTTGTCCAGTTGCCAATCTTAATTTTGCAATTACATATTTGCCACGTGAACAATATACTGTGCTATATATTTTTACCACTTTCGATGAGGTGGCAAGCCATCTCCCTCGTCTAGCGTGTACAGGCCATGTGAGATGACCCTTGTGCCCCTGCCTCTTTATCTGTTTCACAGGGAATCGCCGATCCGAAGCCGTGCCTCCTCTGTTCTTCCGCAGCCGGCGAGTCGGTCTACGTGAGCGCGCAAGCGTCTTCCGCCGCCGGCGAGTCGTTCTACGTGAGCGCGCACGCGTGGGCCTGAAGCCACCGTCCCAGAGACCCTTGCACGAGGCCACTGTCATGGTTGCCACTCCCGTCGCCGGACACCGGGGGCACGCACGCCGTATCTGGTGGCTTCGTCTTGGCCTTACCGTGCCACTATGGACAAGGTAGAGGACTTTGTGGACTCGTGGTGCGGACACTGCTGCCGCTCTTCTTCGCCATAAGCGGCCTCCGCACGGACACGCAACAAAATTTGCGCGCAATCGACGGTGCCTGCATTGGCCGCAGTGATACTCTAGGTTGTCGCCGCCGCTGGCGTACGTGGCCGCCGTATTCTGCATGCCTCTACACGAGCACGACGTCCACCGACCTCCTGCTCACAGCAAGGACAAGGAGTCGTAAGTCATTGAGCTAGTCATCCTCAACATTGAGAAGAATGAAAAGGTCATTTATGCTTAACACCAAGGCTGCATATATATGTACATGCAAATAACTTGATATTTGTTTGAAGTGAAATTGTTATGGATCATGAATCAACTCGGATAGTCCTTGTGTAAGGTGAAGATCGAGTAGATGGACGGGGGCTCCCTCGAGAACCACCGCATCGCCGACGAGCACTTCCTGGCGCATGTGAACATCGACTCCGAGAGCTCGAGGGAGGGGGCCTTCGCCGCCGCCGCCATAGCGGATGACCTCATGAGGCATGAGCCCGGCTGCCAGCTGTCGTGGCCGTCGTGTCCGATGCCGGGTTGGCGCTCCTCCTCGGCGTGGGCGGCGCGGCACACGAGCTCTCCCGCCATCTAGGCCTCGGCCTCGGCCTGGCCCCCGCCCCGAGGGCGCGAGCAGCGGCGCACGTCACACGCTGCAGGTTCCGCGATGGCGGGGTCGCGGGGACGAGCACGAGGTGGCCGTGCGCGCGTGCAAGGGCGTGGAGGGGAGCTGCAGGTCACCATCGCCGGCGAGGCCGGTGCTCCCCACGGCGCACGGCCGGGCCACCGACGCGCATGACGTCGTCGGCGCCGAACTCGCACGGCGCATCCTTGTCGATCCACCCCACCGGCACGCTCTGGCTGCTGGCCGGGACCGTCGCCGCTGGCCGCCGCCACGTCCTCGACTCGGCTGCCGGCCGCCGCCGCCGCTTGGCGCAGGGACATGGCACGGACGAGCTCGTTGACGTCCTACCCCCCGCCCGTCTCGGCGCGAACCCGCCGCGGGCGCCGTTCGTGCCCGCGTGCGTCGGCATCTGGCGTTCCAATCTCAGCTGAGCCGTGCGACAGGGACAAGGAGGCAGGGGCATCAGGGTCATTTCTCGTGGTCTCTACACGCTAGAACGGTGACTTGACTTGCCACGTCATCAAAAGTTATAAAAATGTAGCACAATATATTGTTTATGTGGCAAATATGTAATTGGAAAATTAAGATTGGCAATTGGACGAGTGACGACCACAAAGATGGCAAAAATTTAAATTTCCCAGAGATTACCGAGAAGAAGGAAAACCTTTATCCTTTTCCGCCTCCGCTGCCCATTGCGTGCCGTCATATATAGCAGCCGAATAGATCAGGAAAAGCCAAATCACACGAACCCCCCTAGCAAGCCTTAGGAAGACGAACAAGATCCGATCCCTTTGTGGTAAATCCATCACGGCAATGGCAGGAGCAGCGCTCCTTCGATCGGTGGCAACCAAGATGGCCCGCGCACCGCCTCGCCTTCCATCTGCCCTGGAGCGCCATGGCTTACTCCCAACAAGTTCTAGATTCTCCACATCTACTGGTTCCACGCCGCCGGCCAACCTTAGGGATTTGAGACTTGAGTACGCTGCTCCTCTTTGATTTGATTTGGTTTGGTTTGATAGTCTTTAAATTTGGTCGACACATAGGACAGTAATTAGTAGACTAGGCATCTTTCCTTCATATATAATTTTTATTAGAAAAAAGTATAATTTTTATTGTCGTTTGACATGCTACAATCTTCCCTTGTGTAAAAGGATAGCATAGAAGATTGATTTTTAAGGTTACAAAGCCCGGTCATTTAGGGCCTTAGCTGCTGATCAGAGCTGTTTCCCTCTCTACCATGAATCTTATCCCCCATGGGCTCACACTCACCCAACTGACCCCCTGTTGTCATATCTATCATTAGGCTATATAAAACCTAAATTACTATTGAATTTTCGATGTTGACATGTTTGTTGTCACACACATTCACATTTGATCCTTTACTTGGAGATTAGTAATATCCATGGTTGATTTGTGTCATGCCAGCTCTATGCGACCACGTGCATGATCGTGATAGCCTTCATATTACTGGTATTGATGATGCTGTTTGTTCTATTATGTTTCTTTAGGGGCCTCAAACTGATATCAAGAAAGATCGCAGTGGCAGTGACTGGGACCGGTATGACTTCTTGTTCCAATTTTGGGATCTATAAAGAAACAAATGACCAATTGTACCTTAGTATGAATTATTTATCACTCTTACACTTATTATTTTCATTTCAGGGTAAAGACCGCATGCCATAGAAGCTACAGCTACGTGTGCTTTCTTAACAGTTGTTGGTGGCGTCATTGTTATATGCAGCTGGGTTAATCCGGCACTGGATCGTATCAATGCCAACTTGGAAGCTAGTAATCGACTTGACATGGAAATAATGGATGAGATAAAACGCGGTCAAAGGATTCGTGAGCAATGTGGTTCAAGCAAAAGTTAAATTGAAGCTTGAGATTTGGTGGGTGAGTTTTTCTCAAGAAACATTGAGTGTGTCCATATATTTGATGCCTGAACTTTCAAACTTTTGTTATCTTTGATCAATGATTAACCTAACAAAGTAACAGTATGGAAGATTCTGTGACAAAAAATGTAGCATTTGTTTCTTACATCAAAATTACTAATCTAAGACCATGATTTTGCTTATAGGAATAAATATATGCGGTAACGGCTGAATTTCTGTTTAGGGATTGCACTGAATTAAGCAGTGCCTTACATTCCTGAATGGTTGAAGCAATAGTCCGAAATAAACTACCATCGAACAGAAATGGATGTTATATGACCTACAATCATGCACATTGCCATTTTTTAAAAGTGTATATGCAAACCATATCTATTTGTATACTCCCTCTCTCTTCCAAATTATAAGACGTTTTGGCACTTTTTATTACTACATACTAGACCTAGTGTATGTATATATAGGTGCATAGCAAAAGCTATGTATCTTAGAAAGCCAAAATGTGTTATAATTTGGAATGGAGGGAGTATCATATTTATTTAATGGTTTAATAATTGTGTGATTTTGGTGTGTAAGTTTGCTTTTGTTGTTAGAAACACAACTGGTTTCATTTTCGCTATTGTACAACTATAACATATACGATGTGCTGCACTTCTCATCACTGCAATTGCTAACTATTATATTGATATATGTGTCTAGGACAAGGGGCAGGGAGCATATGGGACTCCAAGCTTGGATGTTTAATCATTGCCTAGGCGCAGAGCTTTCTTGTGCCTTTTTTCTTTTCAAAAAGTGACTAAACAATGTCTTGTGCTTAGTTAATGTATTTGTGATATACTATGTTGCTTAATTGTTGCACAGTTACATGTATCAATGGTTTAAGTCGAAGGTGTGCCTGTATTTTGCCAGTTGTCACTGAGAAATTTCCATTGGTCGCGGCCCGCAGATGCTTGTTAGCACTTAGCAGAAGCCCGTATGTGATGTTTTTACTGTCCTGGACGAGACCTGGTCGTAGCGTCCATTTTGTCTTGACTTCGTTTGGTATTCTGATGGCTTCAGGATTGGACATGGTCATTCACTCATTCTGGTTCTGGATGTAAAATTCAGTTTTAACGTACAGTATACAATGAATGACACATGTTAAGAGTCTGGCGCCCATCCATCCATCTTTTGCCATTGTGCAAGTGATGATCCTGGGCTTCCTTTTTGCCTTTCTGCAAGTATTTTGCCATAGCACATTATTACATTATTAACCGGGAAATTATTTTTGGAGACTTCACTGAAAATTGAGCCTTTGTGAACTTATCTGGTTTCGCTAGTTAACCTGAATGAATCAAAAAGAAATTAGAGTACATCGATGGCTCATGTAAGCAAGGCATTGAGACGAGTAATACTGCACTACTGCTGCTTACTTTTCACACTGCATAAGATTCAGACAGCAGCGTGAAGAGGCAATAAACCCAGGGACCAAACTCCTGCAATCTCATCTCATCTCATATGAAATCGACACAACTTGTAAAATTTGAATTTCCAATCTTCATTCGCATGCGTGCATTATTCAATCCTCCTACCCGTGAATGATGTCGCATGGCTGGAACGAGCAAACAGCGCGCGATGGAAAATATATATGACCACGAGCGTGCGTGCGAACTGAGCATGCGTCCGTCAGGAGGTGAACGCCCCAACATTATTCACTCTTGCGTTTGTCATTTTCATTTCAGGGCAAACGCCGCAGCGGAAGAAACTACCATCACGCCAAGCTCAGGATTGCATTGGATTCAGCTCGTTCTCAAGGAAAGGTGTAGATGAGAGGGGTCTTGCATTAGAATCAGTTTGGTTGTTTAAAGAATCGTGTACTTGTTAGTTAGTTGTCGAGGGTGTCAATAATTTACTAATCTATATGTATATATGTGTATGGCTAAAAGACGTTTCACCCTGTCAAGGTTATATATGATCTTTGCACTGACTATGTAGGTCATGGTCCATGCGTTGCAACAGGCATACAGAATTTGCATGACCTTTTTTTACTGGAGATTTGTTTATTTTAGCAACACTGGTTTTGGTACAGCCGTACAAGTATGTTGGTGTCGAGACTTGAGAAGAATAGCTTCCGTCCTTTGGCAATTGTGCAAGTCTTTTGCTGTTCAGTCAGTGTTCTTTTTTTGATGGAATTATTCAGTCAGTGTTCTCATTTCGAAGACATAAGCACAAGACATTATTTATTTATTAGGAGTAACCGGAAAATATGAGACTTCATTGAATTGAGCCTTTTTAAACTTATATCTGGTTTAGCTAGTTTCCTTTATTAGTTGGCCCCAATGGCACACAAGATTGAGTAAATAAGAAATTAGAGTACATGGATGTGATGCCTCATGTAAGCTTGACTTCTACTGTTGTGCTAACATAACATTCAGAAGGGAGCATAAGACAGCAGCATGCATCAAGAGCCAATAAACCCTAGGGGCAAAGAGCATGCATCAAGAGCCAATAAACCCCAGGGGCAAAAATTAATCTTATCTCATATTATATATAGTATATATGATGAAAGGAATTGGCACAAATTGGATTCAAGTCGACAAATAGATTCTATCATCATCACATTCAATATTTTACCTATAGTCATCAAATTTCCAATTTAAAATCTCATTCAGGCTTCCTATTCAGAGGAGCCTGCATGTGCTGGGGCTCGCTTGCTGTAGGCGGCCTCGTCCAGTCCAGACCAGAAGCCCATGGGCAGTTGATGGGCCATGGCCTGCTGTTGACGAATCAGCATCGCGATGTTCCTATGACCTGTTCCGTTGCGCCCTACCATATCCCGTCCCATTCGTGCCGGAGCCGAAGCAGAATATATAGCACCCGAAATACGAGAATCCATCCAAATCACACACAATTCTAGCCAGGCTAGCCTTTCTTCATATTCGACTCGATTGGATTGGATTTCTTTTCTCTCTCGCTCTAACATTAATCGCCAGGACGAAAGATGAACAGCATCCATCGCTGCTGCTGGGCATGGCAATGGCAATGGCAGGAGCAGGGCTCCTTCGATCTGTTGCCACCAAGATGGCTCGCCTTCCATCTGCACTGCAACACCATGGCCATGGCCGGCTTCCAACAAGCTCGAATCGCCTCTGGCTTTCTAGCTTCTCTGGTTCCACGCCACAGCCAACCAACGTCAGGGTACGCTAGCTGCTCTTCCATTTGATTTCGTAGCATTCCTCCTATTTCGTAGTCCTCTACAATCAACAATCCATCCATACGTGTTACTTGCCAATCTTTTTTTAGTCAACACCGAGGGAGCTGAGAGGCTCCACCTGAATATATTTTTCACAGATTCCGGCAAGCCGTTAATGGAGGGCACCTAGTACATGGGCGACCCTTGAAGGGTTCAACAGGGAACAAAGAGGGAGGGAGAGAGATGTCAACCACATCAACATTACACAACATAAACATGGAGAAACACCAGCAACCACCGGTAGAAATGGCAAAGTTACAACTCCCACTACGGAAACATGTTGTCGACCGTCGAATAATGCACCACCAATAGTCAAAGCTCCACGAGCTCCATTCCACGGGCGACTGTAAAGCACTGAGTCAAAAATGACAGGCGACAACCGTGAAGTACATCTTCTATGGAGATCATTCGGGACCAATCGCCTTCCACCTACGGCCTTAGAGGGGACGAAGCCTCGAGGGTTGGGGGACTGACCATTGGAGAACAAGGAGATCCAAAAGAGGGTATTATGATCCTGTTAACCCGGCATATGGTGAGAAGATGCAGGCTTTGTTTGGCAGGACTTATTTGTGGCTGCGGCTGCGGCTGATTTGTTGTGAGAGAAAAACATTGTTCCATGGCTGAAAAGTAGGGCTTATTTTGGCTTATAAGCTCAAGCGAACAAAGCCGCAATCAAGGAACTTAGAGGACGTCAGAGCAAGGACACCGACAGCAGACACCATCTAGCAAGCAGCTTGTGCCACAGTATAAGGAGTGCAAGGAAGACCCTGCAAGAAGGAAAGTTGTGGTGGGTCTGAGCTGACCTCTCAACGGTGGCACCCTCAAGAAGGACACGACATCGTTGACGCCGCCACCACCGGCTCCAGATAACTAGAGCAAGTTTTCACCAGGAGGAGAGGGACAATACTACAATTATAGGAGGCTACATCGATGTCTCCAAGGAGGTAAACGGCACGCCGATCGCACAGCAAGGTCGTGCACGGCTTTCGCCTAAGCTCCCCAAACCCATGAACTATAGCCCACCATCTCAGAGACCAAGATGACGAGCCCCGGGCACGACGATGCGCAATCTTCACAGCTACAGGGCCGCAATCCTTCATTCGCACAGATGATGCTGCACACTTCCTTGATTATGTCATCCGTGCTGCCGAGGAAGCTAATGTGTACAATGATTTAGTGAAGTACCTTCTGATGCTAAGGCAAAAGGCACGGGAACCCAAAGTCGATGGAGAACTCATCTTTGCATATGCTAAGATTGACAGGCTTAGTGACATTGAGGAATTCATTCTTATGCCAAATGTTGCCAACCTTCAAAATGTCGGCGACCGTCTGTATGATGAAGAACTATATGAAGCTGCAAAGATCATCTATGCTTTCATCTCGAACTGGGCTAAGCTGGCTGTTACCCTGCTTAAGCTGAAGCAGTTCCAAGGTGCTGTTGATGCTGCTCGCAAGTCTAACAGTGCCAAAACATGGAAGGAGGTCTGATTTGCTTGTGTTGACGCCGAGGAGTTCCGTCTTGCACAAATTTGTGGTCTCAGTATTATTGTTCAGGTATACAAGTAGGAGCGCATACTTGATAATTTTTTTCTAGTCTCTGCTTTATAACAAAGATTCTATGATATATTTCTTTCTGACATACCTGCTTTGTATTTTTGTTTAGGTTGATGACTTGGAAGAAGTCAGTGAACACTACCAGAATAGAGGATGCTTCAGTGAACTTATTGCTCTCATGGAGAGTGGTCTTGGACTTGAACGTGCACACATGGGCATCTTCACAGAATTGGGAGTTCTATAGCTAGATACCACTCTGAGAAGCTTATGAAGCACATCAAACTTTTCTCCACCCGTCTCAATATTCCTAAGCTTATCCGGGGTTGTGATGAACAGCATCACTGAAAAGAACTCACCTACCTGTACACACAGTATGATGAATTTGACAATGCTGCCACCACTATTTTGAACCACTCTCCAGATGCATGGGATCATATGCAGTTCAAGGATGTCTGCGTTAAAGTTGCAAATGTCGAGCTATATTACAAGGCAGTTCACTTCTATTTGCAAGAGCATCCGGATATCATCAATGATATGCTAAATGTGCTTGCACTTCGGTTAGATCATACCAGAGTGGTAGACATAATGCGGAAGGTTAGCATCTGAATGAAAATTAATTTTCTTGGTGCCCTTTGAGTAGAAGCCCTGTTTCAATTCCATCCCAAATTTCTGATTGTCTTGTTGCTCTTTGGACAGGCTGGCCAGTTGCATCTTGTGAAACCATATATGGTTGCAGTTCAGAGTAACAATGTCTCTGCTGTGAATGAAGACTTGAATGAGCTTTACGTTGAAGAGGAAGACTATGAGAGACTCCGGGAATCAGTTGACATGCACGACAACTTTGACCAGATAGGTCTTGCCCAGAAGGTAAAAAATAGCCAGATAATCGTGCAATGCCTATTGTTACTGCTTTGAATTTAATAACCTGTGTTCATTTCTTGAGCAGCTTGAGAAGCATGAATTGCTTGAGATGAGGAGGATTGTTGCCTACATTTACAAGAAGGCTGGCAGGTGGAAGCAATCCATTGCTCTATCAAAGAAAGATAACATGTACAAGGATTGCATGGAGACATGCTCACAATCTGGTGACCGTGAACTGTCAGAGGACTTGCTTGTCTATTTCATTGAGCAGGTTTGGTTCAAGCTCATTCTATTCTATTGACTGATGATACAAGACTAGTGATAAGCTAATTCAGTACTATGCACCATAAGGCCTAGTCTGTCTACTTGGCATTGCATTCTGATTAGTAAACACATCCAATCATGTAACGCAGGGTAAGAAAGAATGCTTTGCTTCCTGCCTCTTCATTTGCTACGACTTGATCCGGCCAGATGTCGCTCTTGAGCTTGCATGGATGAACAACGTGTTGGACTTTGCCTTCCCATACCTGTTGCAGGTAACTTTTTTAAGTCCATTTCTTTGTTGATGTTTATTTACATACAGTTTTCTATAGTAACTAACATCCGTGCTGCGTGTGCAGTTCATTCGTGAATACACTAGCAAGGTGGATGATTTAGTGAAGGACAAAATTGAGTCGCTGAAGGAAGAAAGAGCCAAAGAGAAGGAGGAGAAAGATCTTGTGGCTCAGCAGGTAACCTAAAACTGCTCTCACATGTTTTGTTTGTGTAATCATCATCTCATGCTGAGGCATTGACATGATAAGTTGCATTCCCTTGTGCTGTGCAGAACATGTATGCGCAGCTGCTTCCTCTTGCTTTGCTTGCTCCGCCAATGCCTGGCATGGGTGGTCCTCCGCCTCCGATGGGTGGGATGGGCATGCCTCCAATGGGAGGAATGGGTATGCCGCCGATGGGCCCTGGTCCGATGCCAGCATTTGGGATGCCACCGATTGGAAGCTACTGAGTTGTTTTTGCAGAGAGCTTAGATGATCTGAATTGTTCCAAGTGTAAGCAAAAGTGGAACTTCTTTGGAGTTGTAGATGATTACAGTTTGGAATTAATATTCTTTATGGTACCAGGAAATTTTTGGCGAGTGAAATCTTAGCCAAAGTTAAAGGATTGCAACCTGTGATACTGTACAATGGGATAGGATGAGGTCAGGATGATTAGGTTGGTTGAGCATGAGCTGTTGAAAGCTGGTACCATTTGTATCGTGTGATAAAATCTTTGTAGACACATTTTGGTTGTATTAATACTTGTCGGAACAGTGAAGGACAAACAAATGTATGTTACGACCTGTTGATTTCAATTGTTAGTATGTGTATTTTTGAAGTTGTGGGGTGGGTACCAAAAGCTGCTAATTTCGATGGATTTGTATTCGAAACTACTTCCCTGTCAACATGATTTTGTGATCGTACGTGTTTAAATGGAGAGGAAGTAATAGATTGAGAGAAACTACCGATGAATGAACATAAACAAATGCAAAATATCTTACTGTTCCATGCCTTGCCATTTCATCTATTGTACTTTCATAATAACGTATATTTTGTGTTGGCCTTTAACAGCACTAACTTTTATATTGCTATATATATGTGTAACTTTTATTGCTATATATGTATGCGTAACAAGACCCAAGAGCACATGATAAGGGGCCTGGTGGACATTAGCTTAGGATAATTTAGATGAGGCTTAGAATAATTATTACTAAGCCTACAAAAAAAACTTGAGAGGCTTCCATTGTGCACTTTTGCCTTTTTGTTTTCGTATAAAGATTAAACAATGTCATCTTCAGGGTTAGGGAGAAGGGCGGGCCTGGTGCAAGCGGTAGTCTTACCGCCTGTGACCGAAAGGTCCCGGGTTCGAGTCGCGATCTCCTCGCATTGCACAGGCGAGGGTAATTGTAGTATGTAGCGCTATAATGATCTAGTTTCAGGGTTTTGGAAGGTTATATTATGATGTTAATTTTTTGTATAATGATGATGCCTATCTCTCCTAGTCCCGTCTGTGATTGCTGATTATGTTTCATGGTTTACATAGCTAGTTTTTAGGTATCTGATGGAGTGAACTTTGACACGGTTTACATAGCTAGTTTTTAGGTATCTGATGGAGTGAACTCTGACAAGTTTGTTGTAGTTGATTATGGAAATTTCTTTGGACGAACTTAACAAGTCACTATTCCTGAGATTCAGTCCGACATGAGGACACAATTTGTGCTAATGATCCATCACTCACTGGCCTAGCAGTAGCAGGTATACTTACAGTGTTCAATGGCCAGGTTAATTGGTAGGTACATGTCATACTGACGTTAAATTCAAGTAAATGAGAGAATCATCATCTTGGGCAGCCTGCAACAATGGGATCCAATTATTAGTCTTACAAAGGAGAAAAAATAGTGCTAGGAGCTGGGAAGAAGGTGTTGCCTCATCTTGCAATTGTGACACCATTGGGTTCTCCAAAGTTGACATAAGTGGTTGTGTTACACTTTCTTGCAGGTTCATCTCCTAAAGAAAGTTACAAATAAGTTTCATATAATGTCATCCAATTAAGCATTTGGTTGGTTTTGCACAAACCTGGACAGTGGCAGGTTGTTGGCTGGAATGTTGATCTGGCACAGATGGACTAGCTTTCTTCCTTGATTTTTTCACTGCTGGTTCTCCTGCTTTCTTTCTCTCACAGGTTGCTGAGTTGTGCCCAGGTTCTCCACAGTGACTACAATGCATGGTTACTCCATGTTTGGTTAGTCTTGGCCCATTTGGTCCACCAACTTCATGTGCTACTTTTCTTCTAGCTTTAGGTGGCCTTCCAACCCTTTTTTCATACACAGGTGGTTGAACTTGTGGGCCACCAACCTTTTCCCAAGTGGACTTGTCATTGCATGGGTGAATGTAGCATCCATATGCCTTCTTAAAAGCTTCAGTAGAGTAACACCAGGGCAGCACTGACTCCTCAGGTATCCTCTTATGCCTCAGGCAAGAAATTGCATGACTGCAGGGTATACCTGTCAAGCTCCACCTCTTGCAATCGCAATGCCTTCCTCCAATGTCTACATTAAATTGCCACTCCCTGTCATGAACCTCAAATACACCACTCCCACTTGGTATTACATAGCATGTGTTGGCCATCTCTGCATGTCTTGCCAATTTCTTCCTGATCTTTGGACAGATCAGCATCCCTCCCCATTTCTCTTGCACTTCTTTTTGTTTGTTGTAGTGCCTGGCCATGAGCTATCCCTTGATCCTTTGCAGCATGCTTAAGATAGGAAGTTCTCTAGCTTCTAAAATGTACCTGTTAAACACTTCATAGGTATTGTTCAGCAAAATATAACATTTTGGGTACTCAATAAAAAATGCCCTAACCCAAGTGTTTGGGGCCATTTTCTCTAACCAAGCATGGGCATCTTTGTTGAGTAGTTTCATTTTGTCCATCTCTTGATTCCATCTTGGCACTGTACTTGCCCTTGCACAAGCCCAAAGCTGATTCTTCAGGTTTTCCCCTTTGAACTGCCCCTGGAAGTTGGAGTAGAGGTGCCTAACACAAAACCTATGTTCAGAGTCAGAAAAGGTTTGCTGAACAGCAGGGATTAAACCTTTTTGTTTATCTGTCATGATGGTCCAAGGTGTAGTATTTTCTATTCCTAGATCTTCTTTCAAGTGCTCTAGGAACCACTTCCAAGAAGCAAGACACTCCACCTCAACCACTACCATTGCAACAGGAAATATACAATCATTAGGATCTATTCCTACAGCAGTTAGCAACTGACCCCCAAATTTAGTCTTGATGTGGCAACCATCAAGACATATAACAGGTCTGCATCCACTTAAAAATTCCCTCTTGCATGCATCCAATGAGAAATACAATGAACTGAAACAACCATCAAGCAATTTTAAATACAAAGTGCTTCCTGGATTTGTCTTCCTAAGTTCCTGCCCATAGTCTCACAACTCAGTGTACTGCTGCACTTCATCTCCATATATCAAGTTCCAAGCCAGTCTTCTAGCTCTAGATAATTTGTTCCTGGATGGGGTCAAATTTAACTCCAGCTGCACTGTCTTTGCAAAATTTGACAAACTCATCTTCTCATCAGCTCTGAACCTCTCTACATATTTGTTGGCAAGCCATTTTGCAGTACACCTTTTCAATACCCATTTTTTCTGACATGTGTGAGTCCCAACATAAGTCTTGATGACAAAACAGTCCACCCTTTTGTCTTCTGAAGCATACAAGTACCATGGACATTCTTCATCACAATGAGCTTTGATTCTAGTCCTATCATTCTTGGGCATCTTTATCTCCACTCTATTCTTGATACTATATTCAATAATTGCCTTTCTAAGCATCTTTACTGAATCAAACTTCATGCCAACTTTGAAAATTGGGTTCTGCAAATCTTTAGGTCTAAAACTTCTCATGTTCTGCCCAGCCCTACCCTCTTCACCAGAATCTGGTAGCTCTAATTCTTCTTCATCAGAGTCCAACTCATCCCATTCTTTGCCTACTGGTTCATTGTCTACTGGGCCAAATCTTTTCCTCCCTGCTCTGACCATTATCCCCTTTGCAGCACCATCATCAACCACACCTTCATCAACATCATCACAAAAAAGGTCATCATCATCATCTTGAACTGCATAGTCATTGTCAACAAAATCAACATCTGAACTGCATTCACTGTCATCACCATCAGCACATTCTGTCCTAGCAGGGGCAGGCACCTTTGAAGGACTAATCACTTTGGGTAAGGTTGCAATTGGGTTGTACACAATGTCCTCCCAGTTGTTGCCATCAACAGTATTGTAATGGTCCATATAAAGCACATAATTCTTGACCTTAAATGCAACTTGCTTCATTATCTGTGCTTCTTTATCTGATGCAATCAAACGCAAACCGGTTGACAAGTCCTGCTCAGGCAACAACCACCACACTGGAACACCCAGATCATAACCTAGCACCACTGATATCTCATCTACTGCATTAAAAGACCAGTACTGCACTTTGATATTGTCGAACCAATCGACCTTGCCATCGAGGTACACTTCACTGGTGGCGGTGGAATGTATCTCATGAAGTCCACTTTAGATAGACTAGGCAAGCTTGAGGCCCATGTTGCAGAATCAGATAAAGAATTGGAGAAATTGAAAATTCAGGTCCAGATGGAGTCAGAGTATTCAGAGGAGCAGTTTGGGAAGTTTGATCAGGCAAGCCATGAAAAATATCTAGAGATTACATCTGCTCTCAATGAGTTGAAGCTTATTAGAGATATTTGGCTCTCTTTAGCTTACAATGAAAATATGCTGAGTCCAAAAGAGGTATAAGTTATGGTCCTCCTCGCCCTTGTTCTGATTGTGCCTCAGCCTTCTTGTTTCCATGCAAATCTGACTTTTAGCTACAGTATCTTTGACCTATTTTATTAATTCAGTTTAGGTTTGTGCTATCAGTGTTGTAGAGTAGAGATGGCCTTATTATGGGGTTATGTGGATATGGCTATGATACCCCCTTGTCTTGCATGGTTGATCGGAGGATTTACTTTGTTACCCCTTTTTTACTGTCTGCACATGATTAATATTCTGTGCTGGCTTATAATACTTATTTGGGCCATTTGTCTATGGCTCATAATACAGATGTCTGATACATTCCCGCTGTGACGATGCCTTTCCTAGCATCAGTTGAAATGACAAGTCCAGGTGGGGATCCAGTTGCCACTGCTAGCTTGCTCTTGAACCATTCCCAGTTTTCTTGCGTCTCTGACCCAAATACTCCATATGCCACAATGAACGTCTAGTTATGTCCATCAATACCAATAGCTGAAGCTACCTGCCCCTTCCACCTTCCAGTAAGAGCAGTGGAATCAATGCCTAAGTGGGGCCCACCCATTTTTGAAGCCATCCATACAGAGCTTTAAAGCAACAAACATCTTGCTAATTCTGATCTTGGACCCAACCTTATCATAGTCCAGCTCCACTATGCTGC